TTATGTAAAGTGACAGTTTATCATGCCATAGATGCTGACTTCTAATAGCACTAGATTTGGGTCCAGCATGTAATGTATCAAATATACAAACTCAAAGCTCAATGAGCATGTGATCTTATTTTGCGTTAGGAACAAAAGGCTATGAAATGACCCTGTTAGGTGTGTACTGAGTTCCAGGTATCCATGCAAGAGATGTTTTAACTCAGTTTTTAACTGTGACCATGAGAATTAATAAGATAAAGTATGCTTATCTTAGGTCAATTTACAGGTCAGTTCAAGACATAAAAAGTTTGTTTCTAAAGCTCAACATTTGATTTGTATGCCTATGAATTTATTTAATAACAAAAGCCAGCTCTAGTACAGACTTAAAAATATGCCAAGAATTCCAAGTTTTTAGTGCTAATCCTAAGACAGGAAAATAATACTCTATAAAATATTTAGTCTAAGAATTCTTAATACTACAGTTTAGAGGCAGTATCAGCCAAAAAGTTTTATAAGAATATGTTAGAAATTTTTTTTTAATTCTAAATCTAAGAAGCCTTGAACAAAAGTAGATTTCTCTAACCAGAGAACAGAGGAATACAGTATTTGAGATTAAAAACAAGTAAATCACATAAGAACTTAAAATATTAATGATTAGGGACCATTCATGCGCTATTAGGTACAGCCGCAGCACTAATGTCTTTAAGTGCCACATTACTCAGATCTAGCTGGTGGGCTTTTACTTTTCCTGGATGGATTTTAACTAAATAGACTTTAGACATTTGGATATAGATAAATGCCTAATTCAGTAATTAGTATTTTAAAACTGTGAAACCTTTTAAGTTAAGTGGTCTATTAATTAACTACCAATTATCTTGTCTGACTATCATATCAATAGAAGTAAATTACCGACTAGCTATTTGACAGATTTAGTCCTTTACCACACAAAATTTCTTCAGAACACAAAAGGCTTGGAGTTAAATGCTTTTGCTTCCCCCTTTTGGCTAATCAGGGATCAATGTGCGGCTCACGCATAAAGGCCAAATGCAGCTTTGGTCAAAAAGGATCTATAGATAAACTTTGTCTTTTAGGAATGGCAAGCTAAGATTTTTTAAGATTCCTCTAAAAAAATAACAAGTGAAGCAACAGCAATGTTTTGGGGGAAACATGGGTTGGCAGTCCCTATATGAAGACCAACTTTCCATATTTCAAAGGCTATCAGAGGGCTAGTTTCAAGCTTTTGCATCTCACCCAGATACTGAGAGAGCCTAAGTGGATGGATTTTCTTTTTTTTTTTCCTGATTTAGGCCAAAGTTCAAGTGCACGGACGGTATTGCATACATTCTCATGTTCTTGATTATGCTGATTAGAACCTGCCCCACATCTATCACTTCTTGACTGGTGACCAAGAGAAGGTGCCCAGGAGAGCTGCTGGTGATAACACTGGCAGATGACGTATCACAGCAGACTGGAGGGCTGTGCAGAATAACACCAAGGATGGCAAAGACTTCTAACGCGTTTAGGAATAGGTCCGAGGTTAAGAAGCAGCAAGGAAGGAACTGCAGCAGGAATCCTCTTCTAGAGGCTCAGCCACTGGGAGACACACGTGGTCACCACATATTCACACTGAGCTGATTCAAACTGGTCTGTCAACAGCCTTCGCACAGTCGCTAGCCTCACACCAACGAGCGGGGTTAAAACACTGAGGATGAGCACAGAGGTGGGGCAGGGAGGACGGACAAGCCGTGAAGGAAAACAAAAGGACATGTACACAATAACGAGTGTGAGCCCGTCTCACTGAGATCCTGTCAATCATACGCAGCTTGAATTAGTCCAACATAATGCTTACCTCTTGAAACTTCAGCAGCCAGACCCACGTGTGCAGTCTCTGAATAGGCTGTCTTCTAAATATTTAAGCAGAAGCCTCGCCTCTATTATCAAACATTTCTTGAGGGACAAGGAGTGAGTTCTGGTCCTGGCCGCGGAAAACAAATAGATGTCCATAACAAACTGCCTGCAGACCGCTTGCCATCTACTTGGGCGTTTCAGGGCACAATGTGGCAGAAGTCACACCAAAGAGCACACACTGTGCACAAAAGATGGGGATGATAGGAAACGCTGTGAGAGATCAATAGGAAGAAGAGACGAGTCATCTAACTGCATCTTCTCCAGCAAACAAGGGGTCAGAAGAGATGACCTCTAAGGACCCTTGCAGCGACAGGCTAGATGCCAGAAAGGGGCTGGAGTGGGGATGGAAGCTTGGATTAACAACTCGAGGTAGGCCTCACAAGGTCTACAGCCCGGAGAAGAGGGCCTTCCAGGCAGGGAGAGTGTGACCAATGGTTTGAAGCAGGAGCGCCCATAGCTCTTCAGTGAAGTCCATGTGGTTTCTAGTTTCCTGCCTATGACTTTAACTCTGGGTGAGGATCAACATATGGTTTATTATGTTATGAAAACAGACATCGACTGCTCCTTGAAAGTCTGGCTCGAGATGATCTGTTCAAATGACTGAACAAGTCTTTGCTCAGCTGATCCACTCTTTAAAATGCATGGGGCAACTTCTTTTCCCCTCCCAGATACAGTAAAAAGACACGCTGGTTATTTTTTCTGGAAGGAAAACAGTACAGGCCAATATATCTTTGGACAGTTACCTTGAACATTTTCACCTAAAAGGACTACTGGAAGGGAAGCCGAACTCAGTGGTTCTTATACTTAAACCACCCCCCCAATCCCCCCCCCAAAATCACTGTAAAAATTATAGTAAGTCTTTTTTTAAATTTTGGTTGCTAGATCTCTTCTTAAAAGGTTTATAGGTCTTGGCAGGAAGTCAGAAATTCCAACTCTAAAATGAATTTTCTGACTCAATTTTGTAATTCTTAAGTTCAGATGCTTAGGGGAAAAACAGCTGGAGAATTCAGGAGCCTCCCATATTTTAATATGAAGTGACGTCATTACTGTCAAGGCTTCCAAGAACTCCCTAAATTGTGTAGTTAAGCAACATCTGAAAGCAAAGTAAGGACTCTGGGAAGGTGGCCTGCTCCTCCTTTATATATAGATTCAGTTCCACAATAATTTTTCTATTGAAAGTTTGATTCAATTTTCTCCTTAGGTTAGAAAGTATCACCTGTCTATCAACTAATGTGCATTTTCCAAGCTGAGGTGATGGATTTTGTGTACTTAACATTAACACACTCTAAACTAGCTCTTTTTATAGGATGTCTAGCATAGAGAAGCTGTTTTCTTCTTACTAGTATTTAATTGCAAAATGTATGAGGTTTCTTTAAAAATCTGGTTACTTTTGAAACTGTGCAACTCAGAGAAATAATCATGCAGAGAAAGTGGGCAGGATGGTTAAACTTCAGAGTATTTTGCGTAGGTGAAAGTTCATAGTCTGGACACCGTGCACCATCTCAAAGATTATTGGGGGAAAAAACCAGCCCTGGTGTTTACGGCTCATACCTAGCTGGAGTTTCTATGGCAGCCTCATCCTCACTTGTCTTTAAATATGAAAACTACAGTCCACCTGCAATTTACACATGCCTTTTATTTCCAATAGCGGCTGCTTGCTTTACTCAGAAGTATTAACACAAGATTCTTGATAAACTGTACTGCCAAGTTTATTCAGTTGTGCTGGCCTTTACTCACCCGATCCACCCCCTTGTCACTTGCTGCAGGTTCCTGTGGCCCCCACAGCAGCAAGGACTATATTCTTCCCCACCCCCACTGCACACAACACATACACACACCTACGCAAGCGTAAGCACACACAAGCACACTCAAAGTCCTCCGAACTGCATTGAGTAACCTCCTTCCTCATTTAAAGCATAGATATGAGTTTAGCTCATGTCATTTATACGTTCATTTGTAGAGCTTTGGAAATGAATAAAGCTCATGTTTGAAAATAAAACATTAAAAATAAGCTTCTTCCAGGATCAGAGAAATGGTTTGCTGTTCAAGGAGCAACATTTGAATAAGTACTTCTAAAGCCAGATTAAGTTTTTAAGCAATTGCTAAAAAATTAATGAGGTTTAATGTGACCTATTTAGGAGAAACAGTTCTTTGTTGTGCTCTGTTAGAAGGCTAACCCGCCTATAGGGAAACAACAACAGAAAAGTTATCTCCTTACCCTTTCTTTCCTGGATCCCACCTGCCTACAAAAGTAACGGGGAACTACTACAGGGGGAAGAAAAGCATAAAGTGGGTCAAGAGTGTACAGTTATGGGGAAAATAGTTGCACCTACCATTCCTGAAGATCAGTTCTGCTGGAAAACGGGGGTCAGTTCTGCCCACAGAGCAGAGGGCCCTCCCCTCTCATCTACTTAAATGATGTAATAACTCTGATGGTGAGACGCTGATATGGTGCAAGTCCCTGGTTCCCCAGGTCTTACAATCCCCCTGCTCCCTATACAGGGACTCTGTGGTCCTATCAGGGTGACTTCTGTTCTCGGAAGAGACGGCATCTTCTAAGCTGAGAAAGTTCTGAGATTCACTCCAACAAGATAATGCCACAGACCCTAGGGATGATCAATGGATGTTAAGTGACTGCCAGGGTGGCCTGACCACTCCCACTGGACCACAAATGCTGATCTCAGAATCTTTGGCACTTTCTGAAATGTGGCTGAGCAGTAATTTGGAAGCCTAAACTCTGACTATAGGAATTCATAAGAACAACCAATGTTTTACAAACTCAACAGAAAGTAAAATAAACAAACCCGGGGTTTTATGCTCCCTCTTGTTATTTTTATGGCAATCTTTCAAACTAGTTCAAAATGTTCAGTGCTCTACCTTCTCCAGAAATACTGAATGGCTGGGGCGGGGGTGGGGGGTTGGTGGCAGAAAACAACAATTTAATAGTAACTGGCATATGTTGCAACTCATGGGGGGGGGGAAGGGAATTGGAAGGAAGCTTTGTGGTGAAAGAGTGCAGGTGGCTTTCAGGCTGGTACTGAAGTCTCACTCCTTCCCAGCCTTTTTGCTGAGGAGGGCCCAGTAATAAAAACAAGGATGTTTATATTTACCCAGAAGTGTGCGTGGCAATTGACCATCATGGTTCTCTCAATGAGCTCATCAGGACATTCCAGAAGGTGATGCCCAGACACCACGCCGGCATTATTGACCAGAACCGAGACCTCGCCAACCTCCTTGCGGACTCTTTCTGCTGTCAGGTAGACATTCTCCCTCTTCCCCACATCACAGGTGTAGGTAAAAACCTGCAAGTTACAGTGGGGCAGAATTTCTTCCTCACCATTCCCAGCTGTCCTCAGAAGTCCAGATGAAGGAGAAAAAAAAAATGGAACAGAGAAGAGGAGGGAGTGCAAAATGTGAATCACGTGGCTGTCAAGAGGACAAAGATCACACAAAACAAAAATACTACAGTGAGCTTCAAATTTCTAACACAGTTAAGGCTTGCCAATGACTGAACTTACAGCTGCCTTCCTCCCCCAAAAGTCTTTGGGAATTACAGTAATTTACTGAATAACTTTGCTTAGGGGAAAATCATGTAATTGTGACAAGCCCAATACAAGTCAGACCTCATGGGATTGGCTTCCTGGAGCTAAAGACACCTGGAATGAACTGATCTCAGCCCAGAGAGTAACACCCCCTCCTCCCAAACACACACACCACACACTTCTTTTTGGGTGGGAACAGTGGCCAGAAGCTGGCTCTTTACTCTTTAGTATAGGCACTCTGAAAATGGAAACTCACCTCTAGGCTCACAAATCAAAATTGTAATTAATAACCTGAACTCATCCAAAGCCAAGAAATGAACCTCAAGTTTCTCATGAAAAAGTGGGGGTCACAGTGGTTTATTCCAACTGGAGTAGCTAAACTCCCCTAAGAAGCACCCTCACATAAATCAAGTTTACAGGTAAATATGCAGTTTTACCACATAAGAACTCAATTAAAAAATCCAAATCTCTTCCCTGGAATACAGTTCTTTCTTGTCAGGGAGCACAAAAATCTGTATTTGCTACCGTTTTTGACCTTTGATTTTCTGACTTAAAAGGCAGGTGCCAAACATTTTGGTGACAAACGATCAATATGAGGGTGGAGTGGTACCCAAGCTAATCTTCCTGGTAGAGTTCAATGTTTTCCCTGGAAATGAAAAATTGTCAAAAATCAAGAGCCACTATCAAATCTCCCGGACCAATACTTATGGTTACTTACGGTCTCCACTATGGCCTTTTCTTTAAAAAGTGTCAGATTTAGGTTAGTTAATAAATATACAAAAATGCAGATTTCCTAAGGTTACCCCACGCATGGAATAAATTTTACAATAAGGCTTAAATCCTTCGACCGTTTTCCCTTAAGAGACAGGGTATTTTTCAATCAGTCCGAGTATGTAACTAAAGAACTGACTTATCTCTGGTGAAACAATGTAATTATTTCCTCCTGACTAAAGTTATAGTGAAATCATCAATGCTGCCCTCATCTCGGAGGTTGAGACCGCAGTGACATACACACATGCATCAGTCGAGTCTGAGAACAACTTCCCAAAGACTCTAGTTTTCCATCGCAAACCAGACTGAGGCATTTCTTTAGGATTCAGATCTGTAGTAACAAGTTCCCTGGACTTGCTTAGCCTCAGAGGGCTTAGAAAACCTCACAGTCGTCCCCAAAGGGACAGGAGCTCCGCTAAGACAAGGCTTTGGCATACTTTCTCCCTTCTAATACAGAGGTGATCATGTTCCTTTATCAGGGGGCAAATTCCACTCGCAGAAGACCGCCCTGGGGGTGGGGGGATGCTCTTCTTCGAGAGCAGGTCTGCCTATGACAGTGGGGTTTCGAGGCCCTCTTGGGTAGGGCGCGGGGGTGGGAAGAGGCTTGACCCAACAATGCTCGAGCGCAGGTCCGGTTACCTTGCAGCGCCGCGGCGTCCGCTGCCTCCAGGTCGCGGTAGATGTGGCGCACCATGCCCGCCGTCTCCTCGTTGCTCTGAGTGTTGATGTCCCAGAGCACCAGCAGCGCCCGGCGCCGGGCGAACTCGAGCGCGAAGAGGCGGCCCAGGCCGCTGCCGGCGCCCGTAATGAGGCACACCTGGCCCGCCACGCTCTTCTCTTTGGGCCGCACCAGCCAGCGCGCCGCGGCCAGGACGAACGCCCAGAGCACTTTGAAAGTGACCACGAAGAACTCCACCACGATGTTCATCGCGACGGCCGGGGCCCCGCACGAGCCCAGCGCCCGCGTCCGCGCCCACCCCGCGCCGCGCAGCCGGGCTCCCGGCCCCGGG